CTTGCGTCCACCACACAGTCCTTTAAGAAGAACAACACTTTCACTAAGAAGAATCCTGCTTAACTTGCCATTACAGAGACAAACTAGTGTTGTCTTATAATAAAAAGATAATAAAATAAAGCTCTAACACTATACTGGTCTCTTCTTTAACATTTTACACATCGAGTACAGTTCATATTAAAACATTTCTATGAAAAAGTGACGTCCCTTCAGCTAGCTTTATGAAATTTTACTTCTAAAAGATCTTTCTTAGACACTTATTACAAGTTACTCAATGCAGTACCTGTAAAGCAGTGATACCCTTGTTTGTTCCTGCCAGTTTGAAGTCCATATCTCCCAGGTAATCCTCTATTCCCTGTTTACGAAACAGTTAAGAGCTCATATTCAACACCTGTCATACCCAGGAACAACTGCAATAACATTTTGAGCATTCAACTACAATCTTTCTTCCACTTGTTAGTGATAATAACTGATCACAAACTGGACTTACCAGAATGTCTGTTAATAGTCTGTAGTCTTCTATCTCAGCAGGTTTTTCTGGGTTAGCCTTGGAGATGAGACCGATGGCTACACCTGCCACAGCAGAAGAGATGGGCACACCTGGCAACACAGATTTAGATATATTAGTTAAACATTATTATATGACATATTATCTGACTAGCATCGTATCCAGCGATGTTGATGTTTGCTGTCTGCACGTCTAAGGTCCAGAGAGCAATTTAAAATTGGATTTTTCCTGGATTAACTAAAAAGTCAGAACAGTACCTGCATCCATAAGAGCGAGGCTGCCCCCACACGCTGAAGCCATAGAGGAGGATCCTGAGAGGACATGCAGAGATGGAAATATGTTGAAAAATAAGAGCAATGGACACATTCGTATTTGGGACTTTTTATATTACGACTTATAAAATTGCTTCCCCACACTCACCATTTGACTCTAACACCTCAGCAGTGACCCTGATGGTGAACGGGAAGTCTTTAGGAATGACTGGTCTCAGAGCCTTCTCGGCCAGAGCTCCTGCAAAAACACGAACAATGCACAAAAGATTCTTGATGGAAATGAGGGATTATTAGACTGAATACAAACAGAGGATGAAAAAAGTCAAACAAACCATGTCCGAGCTCTCGCCTGTTGAGGCCTCCCATCTTTCCAGTCTCATTGGTTGCATATGGGGGGAACTAAAAGAAAGGAAAGTTGACTTTACAGCTCCATTTGAAAACTAAAACAATTATATTTAATATCTGATAAACTATGTGACTTAAAAAATGATTTTACTTACTTCATAATGAAGCATAAAGTTTTTGTCTTTGATGCCACTGCAAAAAGAAATGCATGCATCACAGGAGTGCAGATGTTGGTAGACGCTGGTAGTATCTCCACAATTAATAACTAGCTTTTGAAATACATTCCTTGAAACTTCCTGAACAATGATCCTTTTCAATACTACATTAACATACTGCATATATCTGTATATATATAAAGTATATGAGGTGATACCGTTTTTTTAAACCATGATAAACAGTATCAGCATGAGCAACAAATATCCAGTTATGGTCATGCTCCCGTCTGAGCATCCATGTAAGGAAATTCCAAAAAGTTGATTCTGTTCATCTAGATGTAGCGTTTTCAGCGAGAGAAATGTTTAGTCACTCATCAAATTGACTTCTTCAGTCTCAGGATCTAAGGAGAAACCTGCAGGGGTCTGCAAGTGACTGAAGAAGTCACTTGGATGAGTAACAAAATTTTCTCTCCCGCTGAAAATGCTACTTCCAGATGAACAGAATCAACTTTTTGGGATATGTGTTCTGGTTGTTTTACCTTAAAGCTGTAGTGATAATATCTGTTTTGATGCTGGACTCCAGGGAATCAAATGTGACACTGCACAGCACCTACAGGGAGCAGAGGAGGACTTTGTTACAGGTAACATCCAAGTTTTTCCAGTTTAGAGGATTTTTTAAACACAGAATGGTACACTGGTAACACAGACTCATAGATGATACTTTATTTAAACTGATCATGCTTAAGTGTGTACCAAACAGGCCTACTCTGAGCCAGGAAAAAAATCCTGTGTAACAGTCATTAAAGCGACATATCTCGACTACAGTTTCAGCGTTCCTGCTGTTGTATTCAAACCTGCGATACTTTTGCTTTCAAAACTGAAGAAACAGCCATGAACATCTTCAATCCCTTCAAAAAAAACCTTATTTACCAAATGAACTATGACTTTTGTTGGCTCTTTGTGCTTTAGCATACCTGTGTTTGTCCTCTTTGAAACAGAGCCGAGCCATGCAGCGGTTTAAATAGATCTACATCACATGAAATGTTTCTTAAACCAGTCAGCTCTCTTCCATCACACCTAAAAACACAAAATGGGAAACACAATGTTTCCATTTTTCCATACCCAGATGATGTGACATTATAATATCCACCCACAACACAGAGTGCTTACCTCCTGTACTCATTGAGCACTAGATTACGGAAGATTTCCTTGCTCAAAGTGTTAAAGGATTCAATGACTTCAAAAGGCTCGGCCTGAGGGAATTTTTCTATGAATCGACGACATCAGTTGACAGGGTTTAGATGGAAATACAGCAACATCGGAAACTTAACTGTAAATTCTTTCCATGCACCATAACTTTGAAGGCGTAATACCTTTAAGTTCCTCTTCAGTTTCCAGCCGAACTTTGTTGATTGCTTCATCTCTCGAAATCTAAGAAGATTATGATGAGATTATTACAGTTATTTAGGTAAACTTCACTAATACATAAACTGAAGCAGAAAGAAAGAAATAAAGATGGTAGGTTTTACCTTGTCGTGAGTATAATCGGTAAAAACAGCGTAGATCCTCTCAGAAGCTAATCTGCAACAGGAAAAGGAAAAGCAAGTCATCTCTGAGAGCTAGAACAATATAAATCCTATTTTTGGCCAAACCATTAAATGAAATCATTACCCTTTCCTCAAGACTATTTTGTTTTCTCGTTTATCAAAACATTTCAAAATACACTGCTTAATTCCCAGCATCCTTTGCCTTCATCTTCCTCAGCCTCAGGCTGTGTTCTTACCTCCGAACATGTTCCACCATGTCAGTCGGCGGTGAAAACATCTTGACCGGGGTGCGCTTAGTCACCTTCTGCTCTCGTGCCAGCTGCTGGATGGCATGTATGATTTGCTGGGTGTGTTTGACTCCCACCTTCACAGCGTGGCAGAAGTCCTGCTGCAGCACGTTTTCAGCTGATGCCTCAATCATCACTGGCAGACACAGAGAAAC